TTGCCAACAACATACCTGATCTTGTTATTTTACTTTGTGCGCCTGCAGTAACCATGGCCAATACAAACATCACCACAATCGAATCCATACTAGCTTAGGGTTACCCCAAAAGCATGGTATATTGGTAAAACTATATATGGTATAAAAGATCCCAAACCTTATAAAAAAGGAATTAAAAAAAGTCAGAATGAAAATTTCCAGAAATCTCCCAGAAATTTTCTTATTTCTTTGGTCTAGTCTAGGTATTTTCAACTCATTTGGCCGGCTAAAAGAGCCTCGTGCTATCTCAACAAGAGTTTCCACAGTGTAGATCGAAAACCTCGAAACAATCCTCGGGCGTCGCGCACAGGCTCACAATCGGTGAGCCAGTCGAGTTGTAGCGATGGACGTGCTCGGTATGATCACTCTGGAGCAGACAAAATCTTCAGGATCTTTGATGTTCCAGATCGTTGGAATAAAAAACTTTAAATTTCACTGAGGAAGCTACATTGTGGAAACTTTGCCGAAGAGGGTCCAAGCTCTTCTCTTTCTAATTATTTTTAATTCCAGCAGGTAACGAAATCTACGCTGTGGAAACTTCATCGAGGAGCGAGAAGAGGTATTTTAATCCTCTTCATTCCATCAGGTAACGAGATACGTTGTGAAAACTTCTAGAAGAGGTAACTCCAAGCTGTTCTTTCTAGTTATTTAGTAAGTTATCACTCAGTTCTAAGGACTTCCTCCTGTTTCAGGGCAGCATTGTCGTCACTGGAGTATGGGAAACTCGGCTATCTTCCAACAACTCGCCATCTCAGACAAGCCTCGCCAGGTTCTCTATGGCCACGATGATGCAGTAACGTGCGTGGTGGTCAGGATGGAACACAACCAGCCAAGCAGGAAGTCTATATCTCCGCTGGTGGTGTCTCCACACGGTCTGGACCTTTCACGCATCCTCAGCACAGAACTAAACGGGCACTTAAGCTGCATGGAGCTGAACAGCTGTGTGGTATGTGGAGGCGATCAGGGATATACTGCGTGTCACCGAAAAGACGCCAGAACTATAGTGTGGTCAGAAAAGCAGTACATACCCAAAGCACACGTTACGACATCCTTGTGTTTGACACAGGCTTACGGTTTGGCAAATTGGCTGTCGGGTTTTGTTGTTTCTTTCAACAGGCCTATTCGTATGGCGGGCAAGTTTTTTGGCAGCCCGTGATCAAAAGTCAGTGTCTTTTCTCTTTTCCAAAGCTTGAGAAAGGAGAGCGAGATTTAGAGGATTGTGCTTCAAAGGTCACTCGGTGGACAAGTGTATGGGCTGGTGTCAGAGAAGGTGGAGGTCTTGATTTTAATCTTGGATATCTCTGAAAGAACAATGGGAGGGTGACAGAACAACCCACGCTTTGAGTCTCTCGGAGCAGATGATCCAGGATGGAACGTGGCCGAAGTCAATGGATAGTGATTGAGTTTATAGCCAGAGAGATAAATCAACATAAATCATCTTAAGAAAAAAGTTATTTTTTTCTAGAGTACGATCAGTGGTCTTCGACACTCGCTACCAAACAAGTTTGGTAGATCATGTTAAAAGCTGGCGATTCGCAGGAGCTGGAAGACTCCTTTAAAAGGCCAAGGAAACCACGGAGAGCAAGGAGAGTGCTTCACGAGCAGGGTCATCAGATCACTCTGGAAAAACCCTGCGATTAATACCAAGAGCACTGCTAGGTAATCGGCATCCTCTTAGATCTTTCAGCTAATCTTGCTGAAATTTCTTCGCGCACCTCGTCTTTGGCAGGCCAGGACCCAAGTCGATTGCGAGGGAGAAGATTCGGCAGGAGGATCGAGCGGAGAGGCAGCGATGCCGTCCGAAGAAAGAATTGATCCAGCGGCAGCTCCTCCGGAGGAAACCAAGCTCTTCCAGCAGCCAAAACCAGCGGCCATCCAAGGGTGAAGAGCCCTGGAGCTTATCACAACGTCTGGAGCAGCGAAAGCTCCAATCGGCGCACAAACATTGCTGTTTCTTGCATCACGTCGGCCTGCGTGCTTTCAAGCTAGTCTGTCCTTCCTCTCTACCATTCACGCTCCCATCTTCCATGGCTTCCTCCTCGGCTCTAAATCTCGAGCACACCTCTTCCAGACTTTTGTGTCTACTTTTCTTCCTCTTCCTTTTTACAGCTGCAAAGAGGACACCTATTCCAATCCGGCCAGCCACAAATGCCTCTGTTCACAATCCAGAGCAGGACCACCTTCGGGCATTGGCGATCGTGGACCGTGTGCCAATTCCTGTCCAAAGCAATCCGCTGGTGATGCACCTGAAGCGTGGCACCATGGGAAATGCCAAAATGGAAACCCTGATCTTCGACACAGGAAGCCTTCTAACCTGGATCCACAGATCTGTAGAAGAATCCTCTTCCTGGACAGTTATGAGGTGCGCCGAATGCCCCCCAGGTTTAACCTTCAAATGCACTAACAACAACCAATGCAAATTTAAGGTGTCCTACATGGGAAATCACTCAGTTACAGGGATTATGGTTGAAGATTTGATGGAATTGGAAACAGATGATCCAGAACAGAGGGATGCTAGATTTATTAAGTTAGGGGCAGGAACAGGGCTGGAAAACTTTGGCTCTCTAGACTGGACAGCGATAAATGGCATTGTCGGGTTTGCCCAAGGGACACTTGGTCTGGTACATGAGTTTCAGATCAGAAAATTTGCTTATTGCCTGACTGATAGGTATGAGGGATTAGTGTACTTAGATCGTTTAGCAGACACACCGTACCTTATGCTTGGTTCTAGAGAATTGGGAGAATGGAGTTATAACCAAATGCGAGCAAGACCAGATAGACAGTATATGATCCAGTTGCTATCTATATCTTTTAACGGGAAGAACTTTAGACCACCAACCTACAGAAAATCAAATTATGTGGTTTTTGACTCCGGTACGAAAAGTACATTTCTGATCAATCAGCTTTACCAGCCAATCATCCAAGAAATCAATAAGTACTTTGAGACGGACTTGGGCTACGTGAAAACGGGGCGTGGATGCTACGCCCCAGATGGGCAACGGCAGTATACACCCCGACCACGATTCAATCCAATCACGTTTCACTTCGAGGGTGGCGATTTTACTGTAAGTTCAAAAGACCCATCCATTTTTATTGCTTTGAAACTCTTTCTTTTTCTTCTTAAACCAGGTTAAACAACT